CCCACCCCCTTTATTTCCAATCCCGGCCATCGGAGCTCTTTCGCCTGTTGTAAATACCGTCTCTGCTCTCCCCCTCACCCCCTTTCGTTAAATTCCTCTACCCCCTTATTTATTTTCCTGCTCATCTTTTTCTTTCTTCTCTTTCGTTCTAAAGAGGGTCGTATTTTCTATAGTACCTTAATCTATTTCAACTTCGAATATTTTCGGTGTATCAAAATAACAAAAGATTGAAACGAACAAATCTTTCAACAATGATTTAAACCTGAACAGGTTATGCTCCATTGCTCTAACGATATGTCATAAGCAGCCGTTAGTGAATCTTGTAATTAACTGGAAAGTCATGATGGTGCGTATTACAATAATACGAGGTGGCTTAAGATCGCCCCCTCCCCAAGTCCAAACGATAAAAAGTCTTTGACAAGGAAACCTACCTGCTCTTTCTCTCAGCTCTTTTTTGTTGTTTAAAAAAACAACCAATCAATCAATTTATTCTTTCAGTAGATCTATCTATCTATCTATCTATCTATCTATCTATCTATCTATCTATCTATCTATCTATCTATCTATCTATCTATCTATCTATCTACTCTGACTTTAACTTTAAGTCTCTCCTGAAGCTGGTATGTTTTTCCCCGTCGTGTCACGTTCATGACTTTCAAAATAAAGTTTTCAAAACTCTTCCAAAGAAAAAAAAAATAAATAAATAAAACTTTAAAAAAATAGAAACTCGCTCGCCCTACAATTTCCCCGTATCGACACGCAGGTGTCGGCAGTGTGACTATAGATTCTGGCTAGGGTGTAGTCGGCAATCACCTGTCTGGCTGTCTAGGAGCGGATCCTGGAATGACATTCTGTATAAGTGGGACATTTGCTGCCGAACTGATTCTTTTCAGGAATAATTATTAATAACATAGCAAGGTAAAGCGAATTGATTTTTGTTCTTTTCAAACTGCATGTTATTATAACTGTCTATCATGCGTTTTTGGTGTCTTTTTGCGGTACAGTGCGTACGCATGCGTGTACTGGTGTGTGTGTGTGCGTGCGTGCGTGTGTGTGTGTGTGTGTGTGCGTGTGTGTGTGCGTGTGTGTGTGAGTATGTGTGTGTGCGTGCGTGTGTGTGTGTGTGTGTGTGTGTATGTGCGTGTATGTGTGTGTGTGCGTGCGTGTGTGTGTTTGAGTGTGT